AGTTGGACGATCATTTATTTTTCAACAGGACAATGACCCCAAACACACCTCCAGGCTGTGTAAGGGCTATTTGACCAAGAAGGAGAGTGATGGAGTGCTGCGGCAGATGACCTGGCCTCCACAGTCACCGGACCTGAACCCAATCGAGATGGTTTGGGGTGAGCTGGACCGCAGAGTGAAGGCAAAGGGGCCAACAAGTGCTAAACACCTCTGGGAACTCCTTCAAGACTGTTGGAAAACCATTTCAGGTGACTACCTCTTGAAGCTCATGGAGAGAATGCCAAGAGTGTGCAAAGCAGTAATCAGAGCAAAGGGTGGCTATTTTGAAGAAACTAGAATATAAAACATGTTTTCAGTTATTTCACCTTTTTTGTTAAGTACATAACTCCACGTGTTCATTCATAGTTTTGATGCCTTCAGTGAGAATCTACAATGTAAATAGTCATGAAAATAAAGAAAACGCATTGAATGAGAAGGTGTGTCCAAACTTTTGGCCTGTACTGTATTTCAGTGGACTCTTGGCTGTTAGGTGGGTTTGCTGTAAATGGCTGGACAAAGAGGTGGGTACACGCCATATACCTGTGTTAACCCTCCACTACACTACTGAATATGGTGATATTAATGAACAAGATAGACTTAGTCAGTTTTGTTAGTTAAATGAAACAGAAAATGGATGCATTTTCTGTAGGGATACACCTGGAACGATACCAATGTTTAAAATAACAATTTGATCTATGCCGATAGTGCTGTTTTTTTATTGTTGTTGTTTGTTTCTCATACAGTGCGCCTTCTCTTCAGAATATTGATGAAAGGAAAATCCCCACTCATAGCCTACCTCTTAGTAAGATGCATGCTTTTCCTTACAAAGTGAAGCATATATCTGCCTTTTTTGTAGGTGAAGATTCTTGAAGACGTTTCGCCTCTCATTCAAGAGGCAGAAGAAGCCTCTTGGATGAGAGGCGAAACGTTGTCAAGAAACTCAAGCAAGTCCAGTTGCCTGTGATATAGCACTTGTGATTACCTGCCTTCTTGCAGCTTGGTCTATTTCCCTACTTATCCTAAATGTGAGACACACAGCTGCTCACTGAAAGCAAACATGAAAATAAACCACACATGGACATGGCATCTATTGCCCTCTTACGTCATGCCAAAGTCAGATCCAGACCAGTGTCTTCTTTGAACCTGCAGCTTAGTATGCTAGCTAATGTTGTCTGAGTCTGACTGCAAATAACCAACACACAAAATTTAGCCTATGCAAAACTGATGTGCCACAACACAAAACACCGGCCACTGCTATCAGTGAATGTCATCTTATTTGCAGGTAGTCGAATATCATCCGATACCAATGTTCAGCTAATAAATCGGTGCATCCATAATTTTGTTTTATACTTTACTTTATATAAAAATCTGGGAAACAGCAAAAAACAATTACTTGGAACATCCTGGAACATGATGAAATACACTTTTGAACTGTTAAGAGTATCTGGACAATGCATGTCCACTGAGAAATAGTGTAATTTCGGTAGCTTTTCTGTTGGGTTCCTGTTCCGTTTCTGTGTAAAAAATGTTCTCTTACTTTCTGTTCTCAGATTTAGGAACTATGTTTGTCTGTCGTACCTGAACGTCAACTGCCATTAGTCTTGTTTGTCATTTTTTTCTTCTTCTATTCATATAGGCCTTATGGAACATTTTGTGGCATGGTGAGACAACTAAAATAAATTTATTTAAATAATTTTCAGGTCCTATTTTGAGCATTTTCTATTTCATACTTCACATGTACTCTGCATGCAGAATAAAAGTTACTAACCTCACAGATCACCACCTTCAGATTTCACTTGAGAATTCTTTTGCACATTCACATGTATTTTCTTGTTTGCAATAAACTCCTCACAAAGCCATTCAGAAGGCTATTAAAGGGTAAAAGTAAAAGACAATCTCACCTGACATCTTGTATGCAGTCACTTTTTTGGCCAGGTCGACCCTGTCAATGTCTCTTAAACATTGCTCTATAACGTCAACTCTTTCAGGTGAAACTTTATCCAGTTTCTCAAGTTCAATGATCACGTCTAGGAAACTCTGTAATACAAGAGAAAAAGAGGAAGTTGTTCATATCTTTTTTTTATCTCTGAATTAAAATTAAAAATACTGTGATGCATGTTTGACATTTTTGAGTCCAGTGGAATCCCACCAAAACTCCCCTCCCACACGTACAAGAATGAGAAAATGAAGAAGTGAAAACAAAACCTAACGTCATTCTTATTTTTATACCTTTGCTTTTTCCATCTTCTCACGAGGTAACGTGGTGCTTAACAAGAATTTCACATTGTTCAGATCTTCATCGGCCATATCCTCATTTATATTAGCCATCAATACTCTGCAGTAAGAGAAATCATGATCATTTTAGCAACAAAGAGTATGTGATCTTTGACTATGACAATATGTATGACATCCTAAAACACACCTCACCTGAATCTTGGCAGAACCTGCCTGTGTTTCAAAGTCCTCTCCACCTCATCCCTGCTGGTTTTATACACCTTCCTCAGGATATCAAAACGTTTCAGCTGCAGCATCAGCTCCTCCAGGAACAGGTGACCCCTCTCGTGGAACATCACCTTAGATTTCAGCATCTCCTTCACACAAGCCACGCTGTTGTCCGTGTCCAGGATTTCACACAGGTAGAAGAGCCTCCTGCGTTCACAGCTGCTGAGAGCCTCCACGGTTTGGTTAATGGCCTGAAGCTCACGTGGGTCCAGATGAGCCATTGACTTCGGTAAGAGAGTAGGAGCTGATAAGATGATCAACAAACAGAAACTTACCAGTGGTGGCCGCTGTGTCTATAAACCGGATCAGATTAAATACAGTGTTAGTTCCAATAAACTGAAAATCATGAAGATAAAACAAAGTGAAATGATTAGCGAATTAAAACAACCTACCAGGCGACGTCGATAACTGACAGCAGAGGAACAACGTAAGAGGGACTTATAGGAAACCCACAGACTATAAGGCTGACGCACTACTAAAAATATTTGGGGAAGTATCTCACCACGGCAGGATACACTCAAGCAGGACGTTCTTTAATCATGCACGACGACTAAAAAAACGTATTTGCACTAGTGATAACGCAATGGATGCGTGAAAATACCGTAATTCTTCTATGTTGTATAAAACTGCAACAGCTCGAGATAACAGCTCCAAGTGAAAGTGAAAGCATGCAGGAAGCAGCTCTATGATAACAAAACTTAAAGGCACAGACCAATGCATTCAAAAAAACCGCAGACCTGATGATTCACACGTCATTAATGGCCTTTTTACAGCAGATGATATAACATTTATAATATTTATAATTGTATTGTTGCCAAATAGAAAGTACTATTAATTGCTTGTTATTGATCTGTAAAGCATTAATCAAGTCATTAGTTACCACTTATAAGCACTTTATAGTAAGCCTGCCTCTTAAGTTGTTTTCATCATGTGTTTTATTATATTCCTGTCACTGTGGATCTGGCTCCATCTTAGTTTGCTCAGTCTGAGACAGAAAGTATGTGTTGTATAAGACTTGGACAGGGATTCACATTAACATGAGTAAGGCTAGTATTTAAAAACACTGCAGTAAAACAGTTTTTTGTTTTTAGACTGTTTCTAGTTTTTATTAACAAAACTCCACGCCCTTTATGATTACATTATGTTTGGTGGCTGAATCTATTATGCAAATGATTTATAATTAATAGGCCAGTCTGTAAAATGGAAAAACAGTTTCACACATTCGAAGGTGATGTATTCAAATTGCTTGTTGTGTCCAACCAAATGTCCAAAACCCACAGGCCTATATATAATCACTTTACATCTTATGACAAAGAATGAAAAGAAAGAAACGAAATCATCATTTGAAAAGCCAGAACCACCGAATGAGTGGTGTTTTGCTTGGAAAAATAAATAAAACAGTAAGTGAAATTGATGCCGATTGCAGGTGTTTCACCATGACACAATTAGCTGCAGCTCTAATTTGTGTTGCTAATGTTACAGGATTAGTTTCTGCATTATGATTTAAATTTACAGACTTTTTGAGAAAGTATTAAATATTATTTGTGATTAAATTGTGTTTGGTAGGTGCAGTATTTTGCAAATATCATAGAAACACAGGGGCGTAGCACTATATTCTGGGCCCTATGCCTAAGCAGTCTCTGTGGGCTGGGCCCCCCATCCTTCTCTGGATCCATGTGACTCAATGCACCTTTTGATTTTTTTTTTTTAACAAGGTCATTTTTCTTTCTCTCCCTTTCCTTTATTTCTTTTCTTTTTTTGGAACCCCATTTCTCTTTCTTGCGGAAAGACATGACAGTATAAGCAGTCACTCACTCGGCTCTGACTGCGTTTAGAGATGAATCCTAGTACGGGGTGGACTGAACGATTTTGCACCTCTAAGGGGTGAGAGAGGCCCCAGAAAGCTTCCACAGTTTTTTCATACAAAGTTTAGTCTTTCAACCTATTTATTCAGCCAATTTAATTTATTTATACTTACTTATTACTTTGGAAAAAAATTGCTAAGAAAACCAAGTTTTTATTCAAGGCTTTTCGAGCCATGTGGCTCTTTAGCCCCTGTCCAGTGGCTCCTTGAGCCTTTGAGAAAAGAATTCTATGGAAATTCATTCTATGAATCCAAATGTTGCTGAACCTTGATAGCAGTGGCTGGTTAGCTATGGATGCCAAATCCAAAAAAGTAAATTGAATAAAATAGAGAATGTAGTAGTGCGTGGACTGATTTGTTTGATCTGACTGCCAGCTCTGCAAAATTTAAGTACCAAATAATCATAAATAGTGCCCACAGTGTCCACCTTGTGGTAAAACATATTAACAAATGCTTATTTAGACCATAAGTATACGCTAATTTAGACTTAATAGGTTATTTACCTTGATTATAAGGCTCAAACATGTTTTGCGGCTCCACACAGATTTTTTCAAATTATTCTTGGTCAAAAATGGCTCTTTTAATGGTAAAGGTTGCAGACCCCTGCCCTATTATGACATCCCTGTAGTAACACAGTAACCGTACGTAAGCTGCTTTGAGTGTTCTATTGCTGTCAAATTATGCATCCTGGATATGTGCAGTTAAATCGGTTTGTTAAGGTTTTCTTTATAAATATGAAAAACTAACTGCAGAAGTGCGCTCAAGGCATGATGCTGGTTTTTCCCACAGTCATGAAAGCACCACTTCTGTTCCCCGCTGCAGGTCGCCTGAGCTTTCTGCTTACCAAAGCGCACTGGGTTCCGCTCAGTCTGGCCAATCGTGTCGCGCTGTGCTTCAGCACCATTGCAGTGTGGAGGGATCATACGGAGGTGTAGCTTGCTGAGAGAGGGATCATTTGGAGGAAAGATACTCGACCTGGGTGACCGCTTTTGGCCAACACCACCCCCGATACAGTCACCGTGTGACATCGCCATAAGCAGCTTCAGTCCGGGTGAGTATTTCGTTACCTGAACAGTCAAGATTTTCCAGGTAGTCGCAGTCAACGGTTGCTGCTGACTTGGACCATCATCAGCACTGTGTTCGGTGTGGATGTAAACCCGCGGCGAGGAGGCTTCAGCGTTCGCGGGCTGACACAAGTGTTGGCTGTCTTTAGCTACAGAGCAGATGCTTCGGTGCTGGAGCCAGGCAGCCAGCAGCCAGCCGTTTCGGCCTGGTCACGACTGGTGAGACATGAGAGATGAGGATGTCCAGCAGCTGCTGACTAGGACAGGCACGCTAACAGCATGCCAGCCGAGCTAAGGTAGCTAACGTTGACATACAGGTTCAGGCTGTCGTGGCAGTGTCGGAACGACCGTTAGCCAGTTAGCAGTTTACTATCCGGCTAACAGAGCTGCGCAGAACCACCCGGTCAACACGTTAGCTAGCTACGGTGTTGAAGGTAAAACAGCCCGTAGGTTGTCACTTCATGTCAACCAGTGTACATTTGGTCCTGAAATATATTCACTAAATCCATTTGAGGTTGAACACCATAAAAACGCCGCAGCTTGTTCATTCAAAATGTGTTTTATTTTGAAATTTTAAGCGGAAGTCTCAAGGTTTTTTAAACAACTTTGAAGTGCTAAAAGCAGCATTAATCTTCATCTAGTACATCTCATACTAAAGTTAAAGGGTTGGGTCTGATAAGTCTCATGTACAGACCTACAGTCTCTGAATAAGCCTGTCCTATGTGGTCAGTCAGCCAGAGTGGCCTGGCTTTATTTCATACCATCATGCATGTGAGTTTGCAGCAGTACCATGTGACTTGAATGCCCATGCCAGTGTATGTAGGTTACATATAAATGGCCATGCCTGTGTTTATGTACGTAAGTACATGTCCTAGTGGCCATGTTTTGTTAGGTATGAGCAAATAACTGAGATGTGTTAACTCAGTAAATAAAGGGGAGAGTGCACAGTGCATGGCTGGTTTAGGAGCATCAGACCTAGAGCCCAGAGCATGGTGCCTATATGTACACCTGTGGTTCTCAAACTGTGGTGCAGGCCCCCCTAGGAGGGCATAGAGACACTGCAGGTGGGGCGTGCATGACCCAAGGAACAATACTTAGTGAAACAAGTTGGATGAATTTGCTTTTTGTAGGAAAAATAAACGAACAAGAGACTCGCTGATGCTATTATGCTGACCTTTATTTCACCAAAGTTCAACATGGATCCCTTTTTAGTAGCTGCTCCCCGACTCATTGTTAATGCTTGATTAAAAAAATTGTAGGGTAAGGTGCATCAACTTTTTCTGGCTTTTGAAGGGGGGCATGACAGAAGAAGTTTGAGAACCACCAGGGATGCAGAATAATATCGGCACATCATCGGTATCGGCTGATAATGGCTTTGAAATGAAATATCAGAATCAGCAAACGTGCTTATTTCTGCCGATATGACAAACCAACATATATATA